CTTAAACTACAATGGTGATGTTTGCTCACAATCTCATTTTCTAGGCATTACCATCCAAAGGAAAGCTCTTTCAGATTTCTGCGTTACCTCTCTGCCTTTTCGTTGTCTCTTTTGGTCCATCCTATAATAGCTTATACACGTACTGCACATGGTCCATTTGCTTGGCATGACAGAACAGAAATAAAACCGTCAAACACACAAGCAGAGAGCAACGACTTTAGCTTTCATCTCTGAACTGCATTATTAAACATCTCCATCAACATGTGTCTGACATCAACCAATCACAGCTACCTCTTCCCTCTGCTTCCCCCTCTCCCCCCTCCCCCTCCCCTGTCTCCCTCCATTAGGCAAACCTGAAGAAGTTCATGGAGTATGTGCAGCTGAGGAACATTGAAAAGGTCTCAAGGTTCCTGGAGAAAGGCCTGGACCCCAACTTCCATGATCCAGATACAGGAGGTGAGCAGTGTGTGCAAAGAAAGGTCCTATCCCTTCTATACTTTAGTTATTTTTACTTCGCTTTTTCAACCTTGACTTTATTTTTGAATGACTTTACTCAGGTTCATTCATTTTCCTTTCTTAAATTGTGCTTTCTCTCTCTCTTTCTCTCTCTCTCTCTCTCTCTCTCTCTCTCTCTGTTCATTTGGTGTTTTTCACTAAAATGACCATTTTGAGGTTTTTCTGAAATAAGCCTTCTGCACGTTGGGTAAAGCTGGATTACTCTCTTTGCTAATCTCCTCACATTTATGAAAATGTTTGTCCAGCCATAAAGGAGATGTCCCTGTTGGGTGACCTGTTGGGAAGCGGGGTGAATAAGAATGGCTTGGGTTAACACCAACAGGAAGCAGTCACTTAGGCAGACCAGAGGGTGACAGTCACCAGGCAGTCATCCAGATGCAGAGTCACTGGAAAGTTATACCCACTGTTTTTACGAATGGAGCCGGCGATTTATGTCTGCAAATATTGACAGGTTCAATTTTTTAAATGTCAACCTTGTAAGATGAATGCACTGTAAAGTCACTGGAAATATGTTGATTTTTTAATTAGTTTGCTCACTCATCCTTGTGTTTGACAGAATGTCCTCTAACGCTGGCAGCACAGCTGGAGGGATGTGCAGAGCTCATCAAGGTGCTGAAGAGTGGGGGGGTGCATCTGGACTACAGAACAAAAGATGGCATTACTGCCCTACACAAGGCTGTGCGCAGCAAGAACCATACAGCGCTTATAGTGAGTATAACATGCACAGCCTCACAGTCACACACACAATCGTAGCAGAAAGCTGACTCCTCTCTTTTTCTTTCTTCTGCTACTCCAATTGCCCGCCTGCAAACTTTCCCTTTGGGAAGGCAGAGTTTGCAGGTAGGCAATCTCTGGCAGAGGGTGCTTGAGAAATCGAGCACAGAGGGAGCTTGAGCAATTACCAAATATGTGGGGATTAGCATGCTCTCTCTCAATGGGCTGGCATATTCAGAGAATGGCCTTGTATGTGTCGGGTTTGAGGAGGCTTGTAACCTAAATGAAAGGATTTATGAGTCATATAATTGATTTCCTGTTGAGCCAGAGCTGTTGAAAATAAAATTGGTTATTTCCGGTCTGTCAATATCAATATCCAAATATTCAATGACACTAAGCCGTCCAACATGAGTAAACTGTTGGTGATATTGGTGTAATTAGTCTTATAAAGTTCATACTCTGACTATTTGTTCCAAATAAAAGGTATATAGTAAGGGAAATATATGAGAATCTGCAAACTAAATCCTTACCAATCAATTTCTTCACTAATGTGTTTGAAAAGGTGTGTAGTAAGATGTATTAAAAAGTTGAAGTTCAAATCCAGTATGTTTTTTCGTAACAACTGCTCAAAGTTGAGGTACCGAATACCGATTTTCGAAAAATCTAAAATGTTCTGTTTGGCCTTGGGTAACTTGTGAGGGGTCAAACTAGGGGTTTTTCATGATTCTGAGTTGATTGCAATCATGTATTTTTCACTAAAATCATTCCTTGGTTGAAAAAAGGCCACGCCCACTCTTATATTTAAATTCAAAAGTAGCTTTATTTGTAGTTACAAGTGCTGATCACTTCAGGAGTCAATCTCTGAGTCTTCTCCAGACTCACCACCATCATGACCACAATTCTTGCATGAAATTCCTTTACAGACTCCACATGCTGAGATGTACTTAACGCCATTCCTCTTGCAGCTGCACCGCCGGTTGCTGCAATCTCCATTACAGTTGCAGCTTGTGAACTGCAGTAGCTCCTCAGGAGCCATGGGGTCTAGTGTTGGGACTGGCTCATAGCCATGTACACCTAATGTCCATCCATAGTCACTGGGGTTCAGAGACATACTCTGCAGAAGGATCCAGTCCTGGGTTTGTAGGTAGGCACAGAGAGAATGCTGTGCAGCTGCACCCTCTGTTGGAGGTAGAGTTTCTGGTTTGATCAGCCCTGCCGCTGCCTTCCGTGAGAACATGTTGTGTCGAATTTCACCCAAAGCAGTACCTGGTGCATGGTAAATGTAGTGGAAGATGGTAGTACCAGCCTGTATCACTGCATCCTTAGTAGCTTGTGTGTCAAGGAAGATGTCCATGTGTTCATCAATGTCCCCTGCACAGAACCTGCAAAAAAAATGCACTTTGAGATTTGTTTCAAATATAAAGTGAAATAGAAAAAAANAAAATGTGAGGAGAAGTGAGGAGCTGCTTCAAGCCTGCAGAATCAATGCATGATCTCATTCTCATGCTCCATGAAACTTAATATCACATAAATATCCAGGAATGCCTGCTAAGGAGTTATGCAGACTCTACGTGTGTGTGTGTGTGTGTGTGTGTGTGTGTGTGTGTGTGTGTGTGTGTGTGTGTGTGTGTGTGTGTGTGTGTGTGTGTCCAGGTTGTGTTGTATCCTTGGTGACGGTGTGTTTTGTTCAGACAGCAACAGTAGAGTTCCATCTCTACGTAAATAAAGGGTCTCATCATGCATCCTTTAGTGGTTAATGTCCCTTCTTATTATGGTGAAAGTAAAATAATTAATTATAAAAGTGGTAAAGATTTTCATTGAATAGCACCTTAAAATAACTATTCCACAGCTGAACAGATAAATAAAACGGATCTGTCAAAGCAGTTTAAAGGCACATGTATTTTTTAAATCGATGCTAGAGGACCAGAGTAAACAAAGAAAAAGGGCTGTGGTAATCAATTTAGCAGAAAACCTACAATATCCAGCATGCATTGTGCGTGCTGCACCACTATCCTCTCCAGCTCGCTGGGCTTGACTCTCTGCTGGGGTGTCCTTGTCTTCCTCCATACACCATAATCCCTCCACACTGAATACGTTGGCATACATAGCGAGAAGCCCCAAATATTATATTCCAGCAATACCCATTTAAGTAGCCGAGCACACAAAAACTGCAGAAGCACAATTTGTAGTTCAAACCAAAGCTCTAAAGCAGAGATGCGCTTCATCTGGCGGACTTTTGTTGGCAATGGGTATAAAGTTGTGGGAGCTGGCAACATAAAGGGAAGTTTAACATGATAAATTAGCAGTTAAAACCCACATTGTAATGATAAACAGCCAGTTAAAAAACAGCAACATGTTCCTTTAATTAGCCAATGCCCTGCGAGGTAATAGCTGGGTTTGCTTATGTGTACAGTATAATGTCAACACAAGTGTTACCAAATGCATTGTGGCCCGACAGTCCAAATACCGTATATTATTATATTCCCAGTTAGCAGACCAACACCGTGCCAGTGTGGGGTCATGCTATCAGCTGGGTTTGCTTATGCTGGGTCACGTTTCCATTCTTTCCAGATGAGTGTGATTAGGCGAGTCATATAGCTTTCCATGACTTGGCTGTGAAACTTGGCTCCTGACCATTCAAATCTTTTCCATCCTTTGCATTTCACCATCTGCCACAGCCACAACAGAGCTCTGGCTCCACCTGCTCTGGAGCAGCCGTCATTTTTTATAGGTCACCTATTATGCAAAATCCCCTTCTCATGTATTTTATACATAAACATGTGTCCCATCTGTGTAAAGAGATTCTGAACATTCCGGGAAAAAAGACCCCTTCTCTTTTTGTCCTGATCCATTTATATAAAAAGCTGTCTGAAAATGAGCTGATCAGATTTTAGCCACTTTATGATGTCACAATGTTTTTTTGGCTTGTGTAACCACTAGCCAATCACCAACCAAGATAACACCCGCCCACCTTATCACCTGAATCTCCTCCTAGAGCAGTTTGTGTTCTTTTTAACCAAATATCTCTCAGAGGGGCGTGGGTACTTTTTTTCATACAAAGTAACAGACAGAGAAATCAGCACTTTGGAAACAGGGCTGCTACAATGCACGATCTGTTTGGTATTTCGAGCCAAACACTTCAGAGACATGTTTTGTATATAACTGAGAACTCTAATATATTGATGGAACAGTATAATACTGTTCCATCAACATATTAGAGTTCTCACTTTTTTATGAGCTCATCATTTGCTTCTGCACTCTGCCCCATTCAATTTCATAAGAAATAGTTTTATGCCTTAAAGGTCACAAGGGGACCTTTAAGGCATAAAACTATTTCATATGAAATTGAATGGGGCAGAGTGCAGAAGCAAATGACGAGCTTATAAAAAAAGTCTATAAAGATGTTATTATGTAGCAACCTTGACACAGTTGTGCAGTACAATGAGCACAACATGTCAGCAGTTGAAACTGAAATAAGCCTGCAGCACTTATTTCTGCAAAATGATCTTTTCCACCACAAGCATTTTCCACTACTGACCCCCTCAGCAGGCGGTGTGAGCGGTTTCCTCCGATGGGAGCGGGACGGACTGAGAGGTCAGGAGTGGAGCTGCGTCCTCGGTCTAGTACACCGCCACATTTCCGTGGAAACAGCAGCGGCAGGTACGTATCCTGTTTCTATCTGACCTGGTTGATGCCTGGCACATGACCTCTCACATACACACACATTCAGAGGCAAAGTAGTGCCCGAACAACATGCTGCGGGTATTTACCTGTGTGAGGAGCTGATCCTGAGAGATCATGTTGATCCAGCGGGTGTAACGCTCCGTAGAGCCCTCAGGGACCCTCTGAACTTGACAGCCAATCAGCTAACACACAAACACAAAAACACGTCAAAATAAAAACGTTTCTGATAAGTACACATTGAAACTAATTTCAGCAATTTTGAAAAAGTAACAAGGTTTCATTAGAAGGCCTTCAGAATAAAAAGTTACATTTAAGTTTCAACAGACTAACAACCACACAGAATCATCGTGGTTTGAATTGTTGTTCAGATTTTAAGAACATTTGTATGAAGATTAAATAATTAATGGACTAAGCAATCAAATATTTCAATCATTCATCAAGCAAAATGATGTGAACTTTTGCAGATTTTCTTTGTCTTATGACAACAATTTCTATTTGTTTATGGTATTGGATAGTTTCCTTACAACATATGACCTCTTTCAAATGTCACTCTTGGCTATGGCAATTTATGATGCACAGTTTTCTTATTTTTTTCTAGGCCAAATAATTAACTGAATAATCAAGAAAATAAATGGCAAAGTAAGCAACATGAAAAGTCTTTAGTTTTGTTGCATCATGTATCTGAACTGCATCACTTGTTCCCTTTTCGAGACAAACCGGCCACATCTCAGAAGACAGAGCAATAAAAAGTAAAGAGGGGTTTACATAAAGAATTAAGATTTTATACAAAGTTGGAAAAAACAAGAACATATTATCGTACAAGAACTATAAAATATTGCAGCCATAACAGAAATGGGCATGTTGTTTGTGCAGGGCAGCAAGCCTGCTGTCTCCAGGCTGTCTCCCTCACTTCCCTCACACACACAACCTTTGACCTCTGACCTGGCGGGCCACAGAAAGCATCAACACCGGATACTCACACTGTGCTGGAAGCCAACTGCAGGGATTCACACACACACACACACCCACACGCAGGCCAACAACACGTATATTTTTGGGAGGGATTGGTCAGAGGATCAGAGGGAGAGAGAATGGGAAGGGGAAGGGAGAGAAATGAGGAGAAAAGAAATGAAGAAAGGTGGGGGGGGGGGTAAGTGAGTAAGCAAATACTTGAGGGAGGACTTACAGAGAGTGGGTGGAGGACAGAGGCGTCATACTGCAGACCAACTCTTTGGGGAAGCATAACATCATCCTGGAGTAAAACAACAAATGAATTCAAACACAAACAACGTTTACATTATTCTGATTATTCAGCATGTGAAAAAAGTACACACTAGGTTACTTTATGAAAAAATCATACCCGTCTAGTTTGGCTTTTACTCAGCCTTTTTGTACGGACGGTATGTGCACTCTATGACTGTATACTTGATCAATACTTTTAGGTGTTTTCTTTTAAGATCACACATGCTTGAACAAATATCTTTAGATTGGTAATTTCTCAATTTGATATTTTTCATCTTCAAAAGGAATTGATATCCTATATTAGGATATTTTGATAAACAATTGTGTTGTCTGGTTTGATGTGAACAAGCATATACCAAATCAAATGTACTAGTATGTTCATATTGCAAAAATAAATCAGAACATGCTCAGTACTTCTTCATTTGGCAAGTCATTCACACAAAAAAGGCTTTAAATAACCACGGGTTATTTATATACACTTATTTATTGACTAATTTATTGTTTTATCTAGCAATCATGCTATATTGTAATATATAGCGTTATCGAGATATGGATCAAACTATATAGGGATACGAGATTTTTGTCTTAAAGCCTAGCCTTGATAGAACAGACCAGTACTGGCTACTGGCTAGCTTTGCAGCTAGATAGAGACGCTAAAAGGGAGTTGTGGTGTTATAGCAGCTACTTCAAATTAGTTTAGATAATAACAATCCCAATCCCAATATGCATATGGTACCAAAAACAGAAATAATAAAATAGACAATGGAAACAGAGATATGTATTTAAACAATATTTCCCTGATATTTCCGTGCAAAGAAAAAATGCTGATGAAAAATATAAGGTATAAGGTAACTGTT